CCACAGTTTAGTACTGAAACGGCGCAGGCAATCCTTGGGGGACAGGATAATACACCTGCACCAACTGAAAGCCAATGTATGAAGTACAACAAACCTAAAAGGAAACGCTCAAGACGTCATAAGACCTTGAAGGCGTCACCAAGTAAGGGAAACGAATGCCAGGTGTGCAATATCATTGTTTCGAAAGCTGACTCAGCGTTCGAATGCAATTTTGCAAACAGTGGGTGCACTGCCATTGCGACAAAGAGGTGCGGAAAGCATACTACGAGTTTGTGAGAAATAACCCTCGCCCGTGGTTTTGGTACATCTGTCCACTTTGTCGCCCTGGCATAGTCACACAGAGCGTATCTGCGGATAGCAGAAACAACACGCCGCCCTTGTGTCCCAATACGGCCTTATGCAGCCCCCACCTGCTAACATCACACTGCCGAAACTTGGCACAGACAGCAAGAAGGACACTCCAGTCCTACTGACTGAAAATGCCAATTTTCACAAGGTAAAGATTCAAAAGGTTGGACCCAAAACATCAAGGAAAGATAGAGTTAGAGAAGCACCACTTGCATCCACAAGCAAGTTTGGCAACAAAACAAAGGCTGGCCAGAACCTGATGAAGCCTAAAGTTGCTGATGCTGCAAAGGAATACGAGAAGCCAAAGGCCAGACCCAAGTCTGAGGTTAATCGGTCTAATTCGCTCATCCTCTTTAACGTACCTGTGAGCAAGGACAGCTTGCTTGAACAGCGAGCCCTGTTTGATCAGGAACAGTGGTCCAACCTGTGCAATAAACTAGGTCTGAATATTAGTTCAGTGAAATTGTGCAGGCTGTACAGGGGTGTCCACACACCTCAAGGTAAGCCACTCCCATTACGGGTTACACTGGACTCTGCCGAAGAGGCCGAAAAGGTACTACTGATGGCTCAGGTACTAGCTATCGACAGAAGCTCGAACATAAGGGTGAGACGAGACAGACCAGGGGCTGTCAGACAAATGGCGAGGGAGTCACCGGAACTTTGCCTTCTACCTCTATGGTGGTACAGGGTGTTCTGGAGCTGGAAACGGGCACTGCCTGTGAAAAACACATGCAAGACGTACAGCAGTGGAGGTGGCTGTCGTCTCAGATGGCCCTTGGCGCTTCTGGAGCCATCTCCGTTTACCGACTGCCTTGCCCCGCTCATCTCACACTGATTAGCTCCCCAAAGCTGCTAAGTGTCACATTCAACTCCCCAGAGCAGTTGGCCATAGCACTTCAGCGGTGGTATGAGATCAAGGGGAAATTGGGAGGACACATCCGATGCTGCGAAAGCAGACCTCGAACCATAAGGAGGCAGCAAACGGAGGCTTTAATACGTCCCCAAGCTTCAGTGACACTAGAGCGTTGCAGTTCTGAGAATAACAGTCTGTGCCACCTAAGTGTCCTGCCTAAATCCATGGGAAAAAACCACAACGGGCCGGTTCCATCGGAACTGGCCAACTAGTCCCAACATTAAGTCCCCTACCAGCAGACAGCTTCACATCAACTACCCCACAACACGGTGAGGCTGTAAGACTCACTGTCAGCTGCCTATATAGCAATGTGAGGGGGCTGAGAGGAAAATTAGGTGAACTCCGAAATCTCCAAGCACACCTACAACTGAAAATGATTATTCTCACCGAAACATGTCTAACCCCCACTATCGCCGATAATGAAATCAGTATAGGTGATATGCTTTTGGTCAGGAGAGGGGAGTTGCTATATACTTTGATAGGCAACTTAAATGTGTGCGCGCAACGGACCCACCACTTATTGAACTCCCAGACTCCATATGGTGTCATTTCACCGTAGGCCACACCAAGCATTTACTTGGTGGCATCTACCGATCTCCCACCTGTGGGGCAGAACACAATCAGCTACTGCTCAGCACTATTACAGGGATACGAGACTTGGGCTATGACCAAATCACCATTGCTGGAGATTTCAATGCCCCATTACTGAACCTTGGCTCGGGGTATGCTAAGGGAAAATTCGGCCGAAATCTACTGCAAGCTATTCGAAACACGGGACTGACTGAGAACGTTGGAGATGACACTAGGTGGGGCCCTAGTGGAAAGTCATCAAAACTAGACTACATTCTAACTAGTGACCAACTACTTGTCGAAAAGGTCCAGATCATGACTCCCCTAGGAAGTAGTGACTATGCAGTCATAGGTTTCGACCTCGTTCTCCGTGAGCATTTGCGGTGGGACGTTACGCAACCATGTCTGTGTTATAGCAAGGCTGACTATGCTGAAATGCGGAGGCTCTTGTCCGATGCAGACTGGCCCTTAGCATGGGATGAGCTGTCTGTGGGTGAACACTGAGAAGCGGTAAAAAATATTATTCATACAGTAATCTCGGATACCGTCCCTTTAGTCACAACACAGCCCAAAAGAAAGTCATCATGGTCAAAGAGAGGCGCGCAGCGTATTCTGCAAGCAAAGCGGAAGGTTTGGTTTACGTGGCGCGTATCTAAAAGCCAGATCGACCATGATGCATATCTGGAACTCAGGAACCGGTGCAATGCAAGAGTCAGGAGGGACAGGAGGTCATTCCAGGCTAAACTTTGCTAAAAAACTCCTGGCAAACCCGAAGAATTTGTACCGATTCATGTCGGAAAGAAAACCAACCAACCAGGGGGCATGCGCCTTAGTAGGCCAAAACGGTCGATATCTCACTAGTCTGGAGATGGCTGAAACATTTAGCTTAGCCTTCGCCAAACAGCTAAACAGCAATGTGGGTATTACCGTTACGGACTAAAATGGTGGCATTACTGTTTTACAGGAGGAAGACCAAATAGCCACCCCTCCAATAGTCCTAAGAAAGCTGCAGCGACTCATACCTGGGAAGTCCCCAGGTTGTGACGACGTCAGGCCGTCTGTTCTGAAACAGTGTGCCGAAGCTCTCTGTAGGCCTTTACGCGACTTGTTCCAACACCCCATGGAATCTGGGAAACTGCCAAAGGAATGGAAAAGAAGCATCCTTTCTCCGATCTTCAAGGGTGGGGATAAGCAAAATCCCACTAGTTATAGACCAGTAGCTCTACTCCCGGTGGTATCGAAAGTACTGGAAAGTATTATTGACGATCACATCAGGGAATATCTGGATAGGTCTAAAATACTCCATGAAGCCCAACACGGTTCCAGGAAAGGGAGATCCTGCGTCACTAACTTATTATCAGCTTGGGACGACTGGACATCATGATGGGATGTGGATGTTCCAGTCCATGTGATCTTTCTAGACTTTGAGAAGGCATTTGACACTGTTCACCATGACCTTCTCCTACACAAAATAAGCCGGGTAGGTTTAGGTAAACCACTTCTGTCATGGTTGAAGGACTACCTAACTGAGAGGCAATTTTGCACCAAGGTCAATCGAGTCCGATCATCTTGGCGCAGCTCGTCATCAGGAGTGTCGCAGGGTTCTATCCTGGGACCACTGATGTTCTTGATTTTTATCAATGATTTACCATGCCATCTAAGCTGCCCGACTCTTCTATACGCTGATGATGTGAAGATATGGAGGGCGATAAAGGGTCCGGAGGACTCAGATAGACTGCAAGCAGATCTAAGGCTTCTGGAAGACTGGGCGGTGGCCAGTGGCATGACTTTCAACCTGAAAAAGTGCAAAGTAGTGAAGTTACGCACATGTAGACTGCAGAATGCAAGTTACACCCTGTGCAATGAAAGCTTGTCCTGCTCAACGTCGGAACGTGACTTAGGTCTAGTTCTAACGGAGAAAATGGACACAAGCGTAAATTACACGGGGATGTAGCGAGGGCATATGCAGTCATACACTTTACACTTAGACAATTAGGTGCACTCACCCCTGAGCTCTTTCTAAGGTTGTATAAAACATACGTCAGACCGCATCTTGAAGTGCATAATATCATTGCACCCCCACTGCTTAGAAGAGACGCCAACCTCTTGGAAAGAGTTCATCGACGGGCAACAAAAGGAGTGGTTGGTCTCCGAAATAAACCATATGATGAAGGGCTGGAGAAATTAGGCCTATTCACACTCAGTTACCGTCGCCTTAGGGGGGATTTAATTACTGCCTACAAAATAACAAATGATCAGAATCACCCAAACAAAGGTGTTCTACCATTGAGTAGGTATAGGCTCCCTCGTGGAAACCCTAGAAGGATAGCTCATCAGAGGGCAAGGACCCGGATGCGCTCCCACTTCTTTTCCCTGCGGGTTTGCCGTCCCTGGGATTCCTTACCGGCAGATGTAGCTATGGCACCATCTGTGGACGTCTTTAAGCGAAGGCTGGACAACCATGCAGCGACACAAGGACTGCATCCAAATGGCCTATCCCCTTAAAATCGCATACACCATTCAAGGGTAGACAATTAAACTGGTCGTTTTACTTCTTTACATTATCTTCAGTCTTACTCTGCTGACAGCTTTAAGTGCACCTATTATTATGATTATCATTATTGCCCGTATATATATATATATAAATACCATTGACTGACTGTTGTTACGTTTTCTTATTCTTTTTCTGTCTTTTAGTCTGAATGCCTTCACTAATTATATCTTTTATTATTATCTCTTTTCTATTGATGACGATACCGAAGGACCAACTGGTGAAAGGATCAACTCCATTCACAGTAGTAACAGTCTTAACACACCTCATACTACAAACCACATATAATTAAACCCTGCACTACTCCTTTTGGAGTCAACCAAAGCTACGGCAGTCGAGTGGTGGGACGAGCTACGCAGAAGTTTACCGAAGATCAGGAACCTCTACCTCACAATCAAGAGGCGAGCACAAAGAGATCAAATTGGTTTATACTACCTCGTAAAACGATATTGGATGTCAGCTTGTATCGCCGTGCCTTGTCTTGTGATGTGACTGTTTTCTCATTGTCATTCGATTGCTACTATCTTCACCTAACAATGATGCCCAGTGAAAGTATGAAGTAAGCTTCAGTTCCATTCATGTTGCTTAAGCTATAGTGCCACCATATACAACCGAGGCACCGGGTAATTCGGCTCTGAAGGTCATGTTCGGTTTGGGATCTGCCCCTCCTAAACATGATCCACCAGCCTCAATGGGACCGTACGATCTCGGAAGAGATGGGGAACTTGGTGCTCTCAGTAATGCTCAACAAGGGGTGACAAATAAACTCAAGGTTTACACAGATAAACTTTCTAACTTGTTAGACTCAAACACGGTTAAGTAATGAACAGTATTTCCGGCAACATCCGGAAGTGAAGTATATGGTGACAGCATTTTTGAGGTATGGAATATAAATATTTTTTACATTTTGCAGGGATATATTAACTAAACAGCCTGAAAATGCCGGGGAACACTTCGCTGGAAAGTGGATTAAAAAATATACATTTTCACACTTTTTCACCAGCCTAGATCTTTTAAAAAAACATCAAGACAGTCGAAAAGGAGTGTGCGGAGATGTACCACGATGATGGCGTCATACGTTCTTTTGCTAAAGAAGATCTTGATTCGGAGGTCTAATCGTATAGTTTCTAAAGAACAAGAGAATTTCATATAAATGGAATCTAGGAGTTCTGTAAATACGATTGTAATTATGATCTGTGTTAATCTCAAATATAAACTGGAGGAGGGTTAGGTGTATTTAGTTACACCTTTCCCCACGACTCAATATTGTCGTCAAACTGCCAAGTAGTGGTCAAGAATTCCAAGTGTAATTAATGTTACGAAGAATAATTTGGACAATATTTCACCAGTATGTTGGAAAAAGTGTTGAGATATAATATTTCATGAAAATAAAATTGATTCAGTCTCAAGCTTTTTCTCTCAAGAACGTTTAACCTGGTACATGCAACACTTATGGCATATTCAGATTTCATATTTATTGGTTGAGGATAGAAGGCTTGGAGCCTATGTTAGTACTTTTCTAGTAAATTTCTGTGGTTGTCCAAACCATTCTTGAATGAATCAGTTGAGGTTGCAGACACCACTTCTTCTGGGAGTCGGTTCCAAGAGTTTATGACTCGGTGTGAGAACCAGTACTCAACAGAAATATGATTTCTTCTTGGCTTTTGAACTCTCCTGCTATGTCCTCTAAGGTGTTCCGACTGGTGGGAAAAAAAGAAAGAATAGGGCAGGTCCGTAGTCATTATTTAAAATTTTAAACATTGTGATTAAATCTTCTCTCTGCCTACGGTATGTATGATAGGGAGAAGAGATTTAAACTATCTAGTCTTTCCTCGTATGATAAATTAGTCACGCTGATTTCCCTAAATCCAGGAAAACGAATGGGTCCAGATAATCTTCATCTTGTGTCCCTTAATTCGAAATTTTCTAGTGTGTATTGTGTTCCTCAGTGTAGCTTATGATGGTAAAAATTGGTTGTGTGAAATGAGTTCTTGACCGAATAAGTTCTCTTTTTGTTATGACTGTAAGACATGGCCATTGAGAATTGAAAAACTTAAAAGGTTAGCCTTGTTTTGACTACAGATATTTACGTCCTGTCTACTGTGTTAGAGGGTGTAATGTGGTGAGCAATTTTGGGGTTATGCGTAGTGTTAGGTGAGAAGGGGGGGGAAGTCAATCTGTGAGGTTACTACGTCACGCACGACGGGCCACCACCTTCCCCCGACGAGCAATTTCAACTGATATAGGATTAGTCTGGGAAAGAATGAGGAGTGGTCATTTCAAAGCCCAACATTAATTCATAAAGTATTTGACAGCTGGTTTGAGCTAGCTACGTTGATTTAAACCAGACTTGTAGGGAAGTGTAGAATACCAAGTTGAGATCCTTGGGATGCTAAGTATCAATGACTGGAAACTGTTGATGATATGACTTAAAGTCGTTATGAATGGCGCAGATGTAATAACTCCTTATAATCCTCGAGATGCGTGAAATCCTCATGTTTTTCGATGTTACCATTAACAATAATAATAATAATTAGTATTATTTACTTTATTCCAAAACAGTACTTGTGATACAGAATGGAATTCTCAGCACTTCACTACAGTATTGCATCCAGTTTGTGCATTAACAATAAATAAAATTCTACATAGATTATGGGTAGTCTCAGTTAATTATGACAACAACATATTAGCATGTCGGTAGCAAAGCCAAAAGTGAACAGTGTTTGAAGGTGTTAGAAATGTAGATACTAGCATATATACTGCCGTAAGCGGTAACAAAAGGTCAAGATATACAGAGTGTGAAAGAACGAAGAAGAATGTTTCAAGTGGGTTTTGTAAGAAAGAGAAAAAAACAAAAAAAGAGTAAAGGAAAAGAAGGAAAACGTTGTACCTATAAATGATATGAGTTGGAAAGACGAGATCCAATTGTTCTACTGGCTATTTAATAAGTTATGTTTCACGCCTAATGCTTTCTTTATCACACAGAACACGAGCCAAGTAGGGTATGGTTGAGTTTTTGTACTTGCTAGTGCGAGCATACAGTTTTCTATATCGGCTTCTGGTCCTGCCTGATGAGATACGAGGGGAGAGTTGTGAATGAAGAGGGTGGTGTGAGTTAAATAAAATGGATTTAGCCCATTTTTCGCATGAGTCCAAGTGCCTATCGACCAGAATATTAACAAGCTGGTTAAGTGGCACACTGTTTACCTCGTGGACAACCTTTAACACCCTACGTAGTTAGATATAGTCTTTCTTCAGTAGCCCTGAAAAAACTAGGGGGGAACAAGGGAGAATAATAGGCAGGATGCAAGAGTTAACGAATGTTAAGAGTAAGGATTGGGTTATTGCTGAATGCCTTAACTTCTTGATGTAGAAGGTAAGACGGAATATATTCTTAGAAATCATCAAGATATGAGACGACCAGGAAAGACCAGCAGATAGAATGTATCAAATTAGGCCTGGGACTAGATGACTTACGACAGTACTATTATTTACTGGATGACGTTTCGAGCACACAACTTATTGTTCACAATCTCCCAATCAATTATGACCTCACAACTTCGAAACTCTCGTTTTGTAGTTTTCCCCGTTCTTTCCTATTTGTTGTAGGGGTGGTAGGATTTTCCAGATGTCAGGGTGGACAGGTGTTGGGTCATTCGTGTTACATGTGTTTTCACTTGATTCGATAAATAAAGCTCACATTAGCAACATATCAGCGTGGAGGGAGAGATTGATAACTGAAACGTATAATAGGAATGATCCAACACCTTTCCACCCTGATATCTGAAAAATTCTACTACCCCTACGACGAATAGAAAAGAACAGAGGAAACTACAAAACGAGAGTTTCAAAGTTGTGAGGTCATAATTGATGAGGAGATTGTGAACAACAAGTTGTGTTCGAAACTTCATCCAGTAAATAATACCGTGCGATATATCTAATATAGAAATTCAAAACAGGTGATTCAGCGAAGCGACTCTCGCCAACAACGAATTTATTATCAAGCTGCACAATCGTATATACACATATGGTTTCTAAGAAATTAGATCCGGCGAGGGAATTGAATCATAGGTGTGAATGCATAAAATAATTTTAGCAGGATGAAATGCAATTAGAATATTTGTGATCAAATCGTAAAAACATAACTAACCCTTACAAACTAAACTATAGAAAATTAATCTGATGCCCGCTAGTGACTTGCTACAGAATGGAGTTTCCTGGAGTTCTAGTGAGAAGTCGTGACCAGTGAGGTCCAATTAGATGTCACGTGTGTGGATGGATGTCCCACCAACGACAATGATTAGGGTCGCGCTAAATCACGAATTGGTAGAAGTTAGAATTCATGCACTGGCCATTGAGGAGTCGGGTCCCAGGGGCTGAGTGGTAGGCAAGCTGGCTTGCTTGTAACCGGAAGGTCCTGGGTTCGAACTCCATTGAGGTGGGTGCGTACTGCCGATGGTTCGCGAACTGGGATGAAACAGCTGTCCAGTACTCCCTGGTTTTCAATGGTTCTCTAACTGATATCAATCCGCCATCAAATCGTAAAAACAAAACTAACCCTTACAAACCAGACTATAGAAAATTATAATCATAGTTAAATGTTAAATGGCAAAACAATTCATGTCGCATATGGAATAATTGATAGGATGCAAATTACTTGGAAGGGGTGTACAGTTATACGATTAGTAGACAAATCGAATCAAACAAAATTGATTGAGAATAACAAATTAATGTGGAATTAGATAAGTTTGTTTCAAATATATCACACAGTGATGCAGTATTGATAACTGGACGAGGTTTCCAGCATAAATTTTTGCTCGTAATCATACTTCGTCACATGGCTTCACAATTTGTCTGATATATCTATACACTTCCCTCTCTCTCTCTCTTTCTCCCTCTCGTTGTTTATCATCACTTTCCAAATCTCCGGTATAAGCGTCGCATCATTTCGATTGCACGTGTGAGGTGTGGAACCGGTAAACGAAGATTCAATGAATAGCCACCCTCTCTCTCTTTCTCAATCTAACTATATTACATTTTAATACCCAATCACCCTATCGTGTGATTACATGCAAGTGAATGTAATGCACCGACTGACATTTCTCCTAGATTATTCAACTTAGCAGTGCTAATCATTTTGCGTCTAACTAAATTTTTATGTTCCAACAGTCTAATTGACTCGGGTCTATTCGTCAATCTAGTTAGAACTTCTTAATGTGGTGAGAGCAAGCTGCTAGCCAATTAGTAGACATTGATCTACGCTGATTGGTAGAAATTAATCTAGTCTGATTCAAAAACCAATCACAGCTGACCGAAACGTGGACAAATATGATTCGCAGACAAGTGGCTCGCATTTCCGAAAAATATCGAAAACGAGAAAGCAGAAGACTGCGTTTGTTTGCAAACAACCAATCAGAAGACCGCCTTCTTTCTGCGGGCAGAAGCCTTATTAATGTACGTAAAATACATATAAATACCTGTTGGTTTTCGTAATAAAACTGATCTGTTGCTAGCCTTGTCTTCTGTTGTTACATTTGGTGTCGCTGCCTCCGCAAAAATGAAGATCATGTGGCCAGCTGCGTTTGAGGAGGGAGACATACGGAGCTTCCTACGTGATTTCGAAGCGGTAGCTGAGCTGGTGGGTGTCAAGGAGCAGGCGGCGAAGGCAGTTGTGCTGGGGACGCTGTTGAGAGGCCGAGCGAAGGCGGCATATGACAGCGTAGACCGGTCAAACGGCACAGTGTCTTGGAAGAGATTGGTTGAAAATTTGGTATCGGAGTTCGACAGCGCAACAGACAGACAGCTAGCGATGCAGCAGCTCCGATCAACGAGACTGGGACCTGATGGAGACCCGTTAGTATTGGCGGTGAAATTGACGAATTTACTTCGACGGGCGCTTCCCACGTTGGATAAAGAATCAGAAGAGCAGTTACTATCTTCCCAATTCATCGAGAGTGTACCAGACCACATTTCTCAGCGGTTAAAACTGGTTAACGCAACGCAACCGATGGATATTAGTGAGCTAGCGAAGGTGACCAGACAGCTGCTGAGCACGACTGTAGCCGCTATAGAGCAGCCGAAACCAAATGAATATGAGCAGCAAATTGAAGCATTGCAGCGGGAATTGGCGGCGTTAAAGTTGGGTAATAGAAAAAACCGATGTTTTG